TTGAATTGGGAAATGACAGACAGGCCAACTCGTGAGGACTTCTCTACTGGTTTCTTCAACAGCACAGGGAATAAGGTACCATCTTTTATGTCCTGATGGGATATACATTTATAATACCCTGTAATTCATTATGATACATCAAACATACAATTTTTATACATCTTTGATACATCTAGGACTGAATCACTTTTGGTAACCTTTGTAGTTTAAAAATATCTCTCCGACAATTGAAGAGCTAAGGAGATTTAATTTGCCTGTTGAAGTTACCAATGAGTATCAGAAATATTTGACATCACACAACAAGGGAAAACTTCCATCATTATGATAGCGATGATTTTGTCATGCCACCCCCGAAACACATTAAGGAGCCTGTCCCACCAAAAAAGGCGCCAAAAAACGCGCCAGGTGTCCAACCTGTTGATTATGACCGTGAGTTGCAGAAGTTGAAAGCTGATGTGAAGCAAGTATGTATTGGTCTTTTTTATATATTTTTTTGAAAGTATTGTTTAAATTGTATGTTCAAAGTCTATTATCTTTCTTATTTGTTTCATCTTGTAGCTCCATAAGCAGTTAAATTCCTTCATGGATTATGTTTCTGATAAATTCAAGGAGCTCTTTGAGTTGATAAATTCCAAGGTATGTGTTTCTTTTCCATTGTGCATTTCTTTTTATTTTTTAGTTAACTTACTACATCCTTTTTCTAAAAATAGCTTGGTGCAAGCAAAGTCAAATATGGTGCACATCCAGAGGAAGACACCAGTGGTCGTCAAGACAATAATGATTTTGTGAGCAATATGGAGTTTGGTGGCAATGAAGATGTTGAAATGGATGGTTGTCAGGTGTGTTTAGTTGTGCATTTTGCACTTTCCCCTTTTCTTTTCTTTGTTGTTTTTGATAATTCGATTCTTTTTTTAAAAAATAGGTCGGTGAAAGTGAAGGCAAAGATGTTCCACATTCTCAAAGAGATACTAGTGTAGTAGATTAGTTAGGTGTCAATACTATGGAAGGACCTTCTGGTGTGAAAGTTGACATGTTTGTTGCTAAAGTAACTTTCACACCAGATGTAGCACATGCTAGCGTTATTGGTGAGATTGCAGATGCGGCGGCAGGGGAGACGGAGGAAGAATCTGAGAAACAAAAGGTTCTTGAATCCCGGACTGGTGTTGTTTGTGCGACTGCAAGTGTTGATGCGGCGGCAGAGGAGATGGAGGAAGAATTTGAGAAACAAAAGGTTCCTGAATCTCGAACTGGTGCTGTTTGTGCGACTGCAAGTGTTGATGAGGCGGCAAGGGAGATGGTTCTGTACAATCCTGAATTATTTCCTGAAGTATCACTGCAAATGGAAAAAAGAAAGAGATGTCCTGCAAAGGTCGTGCAGTCTCCGTTCATTACTGTGTTTGATTTAGGTTCCAGTACTGGTGTTGTTGCAGCGAAAGGAAAAAAATAAATTTATGCTATTAAGCATCCTTTTCAAAGCAAAATCGGAACTGGCGTTAACAACTCTTTGTTGAATGTATTTGCTGCGTGGGTCAAAGAAGGGAAGTCTAGAAAGAAGTATGTTTCCAACTTCTGAGTTTTTTTCAGTTTTATATTTTAATATATTGTCACTTATAGCATTATTTTATATCAAATCACTGTACTCTTTTGTGTATATATGTTACCAGGAATGAAATTTACCCGAAGCATGTTAGTGAACTCAATCCTGCTTATGATCTTGGTGTATTTCATGTTGAAGACAAAAAATGGTTTTACACTTTGGCATATAATGGTCAGCCCTTGGATGGCTCGGTATGTAAGAATTAACTTTTGCAGTATTTTTTTTAAATTTTAGCCAGTGTACACATGAACACTCAGTCCTCTTAAGTTAGAACAGATTATTAATTGCTATTTCCTGGCACAAGAGATAGCAATGAGCATTCATTTTTCTTTGTTTTCTGTGATTTTGGTTTGAAAAACCGTAGCTGCTTAAAGCTTACGAGCCTTTAGTGATTAGTTATTTGTTATGTTTTGTTTCAGCACATTGATGTTTTGTTCTATTATCTGAGGAAGAAGGGGAAGTATGACAAAGACCTATCTTTAACATTCACCACCACAGATTGGTACTTCAACGAGAAAATTAATGAGTTGTGGAAGGCGTTTATTGATACAGATGGAGATAATGATGTGTGCACTCCGAAACATGTCATTGTAGAGTATATTCAGGGGTTTGTCTTGGATGCCAATGTTCCATGGCACACTGTCGAGCATGTCTTAATGCCAATTAATGTTGCAGAACAATGGCATAGGATAATGGCTATGATGTTCTTCAAGGATAGGTACATTTATGTGTATAACTCTATGCGCGGTGGAGCTGCTTATCAAGCCAAAGTTCATAAGACCATGGCCAAGTATTCTGTGTTGCTGCCTCATTTTTTCGTGCACACACATTTCTATTTAAACAAAAAAGATATCAATTGGCGCATGAATCGCGTAACGGACTCAACCTTAGGAAGAGTGGGCGCTAATACTTTTACCCAATAGTGGTATCGGGGTCAATTTCCACAGGGAGCTAGAAAGGGAGCTGGATATTTGCTTAGCCTAGAAATACGTGTTTGCTTCTAATTGATCTTCTATCATTTTTGGGTTTTTATGATTATCAACTACAATTTAACCACTACTAACTATAACTAAATTATGCTAAGATATTAATTCTAGGTTGTATGCAAGATAGAGAAAGGCACTAGGGTCGTGGCATTTACCTAGGTGGTCAACTAACGGGTAGAGATTCCTAATACAAGAATGATGATTATGGGGCTTATGCTATAACCGTTGCACGATTGCACTCACTCTCACACCTCTCGGTAGAAAGAGTGATTTTGCCCAATTGACTCTCTCGAGACCAATTGGGTAGGCTAACAAGCCCAAGCAACTTAGGGTTCAAGTTGGGTAATTACTCTCTCGAGGTTTAACCCGTTAATTGGGACTACCATTCTCATGGGTCCATCCCAATTCCTTGTTGGGTTAATTTTGGAGTCATAGACACTCTTTCTCAAGAAGAGTCAAGACCCACTAAGCTAGACTTGGTGTTTGCAACCACCAAATCCTAGTTAAATCATAAAATTAACCCAAATAGCAAACACTCAACATCATTCTAGCATTAAACAATCACACCCATTAATTGCCCACACTAGGGTTGAGCCACAACCCTAGCTAATGGGTTTAGCTAGACATAATAGCAACAGAAATTGAAGGAGTAGTAGATAAAATCAACATATTAATTAACTAGAATGTTAATCTACAAGAATCCACGATAAAACAAGATGAAAATGCCCAAAATAGGCTAAAACTTGAGTCTCACGAGTGCTGCTGCTATCTGATACCTAAAACTTAACCTAGAAATAATAAAATATTCTATTTATACTAGGCTAGAAAAACTGGACAAAAATACCCTTGCGGGGCTGGCGCGGACCGCGCAGAAATGCAGCGCGGCCGCGTAGGGGTCTTGGCCTTGGATCACTCACTTCTGAAGCTGGGGACGCGGACCGCACAAAGAGGTAGCGCGGCCGCGCAGGCTAATGGGCGCGGACCGCACAACAATGAAGCGCGACCGCATGGACACCAGCGCTGACCGCGTAGAAAGGAGCGCTGACCACGCATGGAAACCCCTGAAATGGATGCTCTCTGAATCTCCTAGCGTGGCCGCGCAGCAAATCAGTGCGGTCCGCGCTAGGTCCTCTTGTCCCCACTTCAATGATTTTTGACACTTGAGCAGGTTTCACTCCGTTTCGAGCCAATTTTTGACTTTTGTCATCTTGTCGCTCAAACCTGGAATCAAGCGCACTTTGTAAGCATTCTGGGTCTATTTTATGACAATTCATACATAAAGCATAGGCAAGTATGGGCATAAAACGTGTTAAAATCACAGTTATCAGCGCACTGGTGTCTACAAATCAAAAGACTTGATTACCCCCTTTGATGTAAAACTGGTCGATTGCCTCAACAAGTCGAAGCGTATGAATTTCTTTCAACATAATCTGTCTTGTTTTTAGATTTTGCAGTTTGATAGTTGTTGTTCTTTTTATTTTTGCAGTGATTGCGGTGTATTTGCGGCATCATTTGCCGAGTATTTCATTGAGGGCAAGACGCCTCCTAAAAAATTCAATGCCTATGCACACTGGCGTAGATTTGGTGCTCTCTTGTGGGATTATGCTAGAAAGAAGATGGAACTGAACGCGCAAAGTGATGATGAGATTATTGGTAGACAGAATAAGTCGTGGAAGCAGAAGAAGTAGTTACTTTTGTCGTTGTTGTAGGATGAACTCTATAATTTTGTTTTTGTATTGTGTTCTGTTATGTTGTCATTGTTGTAAGACGGATCAGATTTGTTTGTGTTTGAATTTTATGAATACTTTTAAGAATTGTATGGCAAATCGATATTGGATTGTTGCAGTTTATTTTATTTTAGTATTTTCTCCCTTGATTTTGTATTGTGAATTATAGATATGAAAAATATACGGTAGTTTGTGATACATTGTCTCGTGCAGATACACGCATGATACATACATGATACAGATATGATACACATATGATACACAGTTTTCAAATATGTATTGATGAAGCCACTCTTATTTGCAAATTTCTAAAACTATTAGCATAGTTTTCTAGCTGCTACGACTGTTTTCCATTAGTTAGCTTTGTTAGTACACAAATACAGGCATGAGTAAGAGCCTATACACAGAGATACATAGGTGATACACAAGCGATACATAGATGATACAAATGTGATGCACAAGCGATACATATATGACACAAATATGATACATAGCTGATACAATTTCTTTTTAATCAAACATATGTATAATATAAACTTGCAACACGATTTTAAATGATAGGTCAAATATTTATTTATATCTAAAATTCAAATGACATTCTACAATGATATAGTTCATATATTGCATTCTTCTAATTCTCTATGATATTCAGTAAAGTAAAATAACAAGTAATTCTAAATTTGACATATTTCATCCTCTCCTTGGATTATTTCTACAAGTTTTCCTGTTGTGACCTTCTTCTCCACACTGTCCACATGAAATCGACCTTTTTCGTTCCCTTTCAGATATTGGCTTGCACCTCCCCTTCCTTGGCCTTCCTATTGTTTTAGTCACGTCTGGTGGCAAGACTTTTTCATTTAGAACTTCTGCAGTAATTTCCCATGTGCTTTCATCAGGAACCGGATAAATTGGAATTTCATAGGTCTTCAATAGGTACTTCGAGGTGTAGTACACCGAGCAATACTCAATGTGGTCAATGTATTTGTATTTTAATACTACCCAAGCATGTGCACATGGCAGCTCATCCAACTGAAAGCTTCTACAGCTGTAGGTTCGATCTTTTAGGAACACCATTCTCTGCTTACCCTTGTCAAGTACTGAATATAAGTAACTCGTTGAAGGGGTCACCTACAAAATTTATCAACTATCATTAGTGGTGACAAAGCAGATGCCCTCAAAATACATATACTAGAGAGCCTACAAGATTCAAAATAGCTTAATATCATGTCAAACCAACCAATATTTCAGGAGTGGGGTAGGCATAAATGCTACATTAAATTGAAAGCCTTTGCTTTTGTGCAGGTGGACACTAGTTTAATAGAATCACACAAACGGTTCAAGATATAACAGATCCGTGAATTCGTCATGATTACATATTCTATGCACAAGTATCTACATATTCCAGTCATACCTTCATCTGATGTGACAATTCAAGATTGTCCATCAGCATTGTATCATATTTTTTCCCAAGATCAGTGAATGACTCTACTGCATTCTTTAGGTTTGTAACATTCCACCGTCCAATCAATTTTCTTATGTAGTCTAGCAAAGTCAGTACTGGGAGTTCCCTAGCAGCCTTGAGTGCTGCATTGATCGACTCCGCAATGTTTGAAGTCATCGTCAATGTTCTGTTGACAGTGGAATGTGCTCTGGACCATCTATCATACCCAACATTCATTAAGTAATATTTGAGCCTCTTATCAATTTTCTCTACCTCTGCGATGTGGTAATCAAACTTCTCAACTGTGTATGCTTTGGCCATAGCAAAGAATATGTCTTTGAGCAGCAATCAATTTTTTTTGTAATTTCTTTTTACATTCTTCCATAGATGCCATATGCAGACACAATGAGGTACTTGTGGATACAATGTTGCCGCTGCATTTTCAATGCCTTCATGCCTGTCCGAGACTATGCACATTCCCTCCCTTTCCCCAAATGCATCCTTGAATCTCGCAAAAAACCACTTCCAGGAAGCATTATTCTCTGAATTTACTATGGCATATGCGCGTGGTAGGATATTACCTGCTGGATCTTGTGTTGATGCTATCAATAATGTTCCTCTATATGCCGATTTAAGAAAGGTTCCATCTAAAACAACAACCGGTTTGCAATACTGCCATCCTTTTATAGACGGATATAGTGAAACGAAAACATACATGAACAAGTCTTTCTCTGTTTTTTTCAAACTTACCACCGACATAGGATTTGTAAGAACCAACATATAAAATTAGCTTGGCAGCTTTTCATATGATTCGCTCGGGTTCCCTTTCAGTACTTGAACTGCATATTCTTTCGATCTCCATGCTTGCATATATGTCATCTGAAGACCATACTGCTTGTTCATGTCTCCAATTATGTCATTAGGAGTGTATATTGTTTTGGGTCTTTATACTTGTCTATTAGAAGACTGCCGATGAGTTTTGCAGTAGCTTGACGTTGTGCGTAAGATCTGACTTTCTGGGGGCATGAGTGCACTTTGCTGAATTTCTTGACCTTGAAAACGTTTACTTTTTTTTTTAGGCTCGAAGACTTAAAATACCAATCACAGTTGTTGTTGATGCATACTGGACAGTACCTACGACAAGGATCTAAACTTTTCCATCAATAAACAGAGTGACATGAAATACAATGATATATAGTGATACACACCGCCATCAACAATACTAGATAAAAAAATACAACGACTATACATTACTAGACGGTGACAACCATAACTTAAAAGTGTACAGCCACATACTTACAAGCAACAACTTATTTTCTGCATAATTATGCTTCTAACATCAACTACGATATACATTGAGATACATAATTATACAATAAATATATTGATACCTGCTTTCACTTGATCTATGCACCTTAAATTGAAATTTTTCCTTTACTGCCAAGTGCCTCATGACTTTGATTATTTGCCTTGTCTTTATAAATTTGACCTTCTTCTACATCTATGTGTTGAGGGTCAGTTATTATTGTACTTTCATCAGATTCTGTATCATTCCAGTCTTCTCCATCCCCAAACTCGATCATCTTAGTTGTATCGCCATTGTATCTCTCCTCTACAATTGAGCTTTGTGCACATTCTGAGGAAATCACAGCAGAAATGGAATTGTAGCAGATCATATCCATATCCTTTTCACTCGATGTTATACAAAGGGGATACATTGTAAATTCTGAGCTTTTTTTCAGCTCAAGATATACACATACACCCATACTATTGTGTATCACTATTGGCGGAGAACTGTTTTGGACAGTGTATTTGATTTCAATATCATTCAATGAAGTATCATCGTAAGTTGTTTAGAAATCACGTCTACAAAATCTTCAAAACTTATATTTGGAGTAACTATTACAACATCTGTATTATAATCTACAAAGTTGTTGTCAACATTCCATCGGCCACCATACTGAATAAAAATTGGTAAATTTGCCATTGAAGTAGCTGAAATTAGGTCAAAACTCACTAATTCCTTGAACGATTTTGATTGCAGTTCGTAGTTCCTTCTACACAGAAATTGCAAAAGCTGTATCTACCCAGAAATTGCGAAATAGATCGATTTTGAGTGAAATTTGGAGCTCTTTTTGAGAATTTTTTGAGAGAGAATGCCGTGATTTACAGAGGTAGAGAATGTCGTGATCTGTTAAATTGATACGCTTGAAAAAACAGGGAAGGAAGGAAGATCTTTAGCGTGATTCTCGGATAGAAGAATCCTTCCTTACGTGTATCTCTAATTTTGGGCTACCTTTGGTAAGTGTCTAATTTTGGGCTAGAGATTGATAAGTTTGTATTTAAATAGGCTATTTCTGTACTTTTCCGGAATGAAAATATATCATGTCATATCACTTATTTGTGGGTCCACTTTCACAAGGGTAATTCCGTGTGGGACCCAGCTGTGAAGTGATGGCACGTGCTTGGTGCGTGGAAATGGGTTTGTTATAAAGGTATGGTTACAGTACTGTAAGCATGCATTCCAGAGTCTCTCTTCATTCTTATTTTCTCAGCTTAACATATCCACATACCCCTTTTCTCTATCAATATTTCCTGTATTTACAATTCTACTACGTAATTTCATTCGAGTTAAGTTGTAATCGTATTTGTTTCTTTTACTTCATTCGCTTACTACTCAGTACTTCTTGAGAAAATGATGAAGGATATCTTTGGTCTCTTCTTGTTCTTACTAATTTGCGTCATAGCAAATGGTCGCACAGTGTCAGCGACGACGTTCACACCGTCGTCGCTAGCTCCAACAACGTTAGCAAACCCACAGGACAAAGCCCATGAAATCAGCTTAAAATCAGCTGCAATAGTACTCATTTGTGCCATCATATTCTTAGCATGTCTCTCCATATATATCCGTCGTTGCACCAACCCTACTAGTATTAACATATTTGACGAATTACCAGTTGGTCGTCCTCATCCACCCTACATAATTAGAAGGGGTCTCAATTCTACTATCATAAAAACTTGAGTAGGGACGACTACAATGTTACGGCCTTTAATTTTCTTAGTTATATTATATTTTTTTTTTTGGTTTTCCACCCGGTGTACTCACGTTGGAGCCCGATTAAAAGCGCTCCCTAACAAAGGCGACTCCATACCCAGGCCTCGAACCCGAGACCTCTGGTTAAGAATGAAGGAGTATTTACCGGCTCACCACAACTCTTGTTGGTAGTTATATTATACTTCATGGTAATGTAATGACGTTTACTAATATAATAAATGATTATATTGTAGGGAACTGTTGGACCATTTGGACGATCCATTAATCCAGCATTATTATTCAGGGAGCAGAACCAAGTAGCGGACGAAGGAGCAAGGCGGCAAAACTTTAATCAGTTTGTGCATCTACTAATTGTTTGCTATAGATATTATTGAAGCAGACGCTTCTTTTAATAGCTAGGCTAATTAGACCAGTTAATGTTTGTATGTAGTTTTAATTTGGATTATTGTAATGCTACTAATGGCGCCTCTCAGTACTTTACTAGGAGTACTTTGTTTTGTAATGATATGCATAAGTATATATAAATATTTCTGTATTTAACCTTTCTGTATTTAACCTTTGTTTATATGCATAAGTATATATAAATAGTGGATTTTCTTTCTTCCCGTTAGGGAGAAATTCAAAAATAGCAAGATTTTACAAGTGGTAATTGAAAAATGCCACAATTTCAAAAGTAATCGAAATTTAACCACTTTTCATCTGAAGATAAATTTGAATGAAAATACTGTTCAAAATCCAAAAAATATTCCAGTATAATATACTGGATTTCGAATTTTTTACATGTAAACTTCCAGCATAGTATACTGGAGTTCCAACATGATATACCAGACTTCCAGCATAACATACTGGAGTTCCAGTATAATATTCTGAAAGTTCATATACAGGTACACCAATCTTCAATATATTATGCTGGAACTTTTCGTGTAGCAGCAAAATAGTGGCTATTTTTTAATGACTTTGTAAACGTACGCTGGCTATTTTTCAATTACCAATCCGAAAACTGATTAGCCCGTGCTATTTTCATGTCTTATTATATCTTTACATTATGATCTTGTTTTCTTTAAACCCAAGAAGAGTAAAGAGAAAGAATAGAAATCAAACACAAAATTTCTATATGCCCCATTGCCCGTATAACCCTAATTAATAAAAATAGTCATTATCATTTCCTAGTTGAGGAATGTAGGTACTTTGAATAAGGTCAAGGATATATTAATATTAAGGTCCCATATGCAGTTATTGTTCTTAAATCATTTGTGCTACTTTGGAATTGTTTCCTTCTTTGGTGAGTGGTCCAACTATCATAGACAATAGCAAACCTTTTTTTCCAAATATAGGATGTGTTTATCATATGCATGCTTTGGTTGATGTGTATATGATCCCTATTTCTGTTCTTTTTCTTCGCACATTACTTTGGTCGCTAGCTTAGTTTTTTGCATCATTTTGTTTTATAGTCTTGAAAGGGAATATTAAATCTCGCACCTATTAGATAAAACCTAACACCTCGTGACAAACCGGCGAGTTGGGTTAAATATGGTCGAAAACGAGTAATATAAAAAAAAATTGTTTGACCGGACTCATATTTAATAGGATAAAAATGAGTTAACCGGTGGATAATACGGATATCCATATTAGCTATAACTTCTTGAATATGATCACTCTTACAATAATTCTTAGTCTCCCAAACTTGAAGAACCCCCAATTTGAATCTTTGCAAATGTAAAAGTTATTGGTTATCCATTGGTTATCTATTTTTCGAATTACGTTGATAATTTGGATCTTATTCATATTTGAACTATAAAGTAAAAAGTTTATTATCCAACCTATTTTTTTAGTAGATAATAATTATTTTTTTTATTAATTTTGCCACCACTCATCCCTACCCACGGGTGCATGTTGTGTAGAAGTTATGCGTCATGTATATGTATTAAAAAAATCAATAAAAATTAAGTATAAATAATAAATTTCAGACCCAATAACTCAAATGGATTGTGATAGAATTTTGAACTTGAGTGGATAATTTCTTTCAACGATAATGAATAGTTAAACTTCATCTTCTTACAACAAAATGCTTCTTTGTGCATTTGTTGTAGAGTCCCACAAGCAGAAACCATCCAATATATCCCACAAGCAGAAACCATCCAATATACTTTCTCTTCAGGTGAGTTGGCAGTCAATATTCCTCTTGGTGTTAGATGAGAGGTTTCCTCTGTTATGGTTATTTTTGCTAGATGGTGGTATGTGAAACCATTGAATTTCATTCATCAAGAACTTCTTAGAATTACACCACTGTAATTGTATGGGTCAAAATCCATCTTCACTAAAAAACGGTGTTAGTAAAGCATTCCTGGGACGTTGTGTGTCGAAGTTGTATGGGTCGAAATCTGACCATGCGTGAATTAGCGCTGAAAGGAATGGCGAGGGGCCGACTATGCCATGGATGTATCCATAAGGCATCGTGAAGACAAGTATCCCGGCCGCTGCCGAGATCGAACTGCCAGAAAGCTTGTACGGCGGAGTATAAGTCGTGACACTTAAGGGGAACGACCTGAAATACAATCATGAGATTAGGGTATTCTGGCTAAGGACCGTTGGATAAAAGGGAATGTTTGTTATATATATAGGAGGTAAGAGAACAAGAAAGGGGGGCTTTTCCCTTCATCGAAAAAAGAGAGAAGAACCGGAGAAGGCTTCTGAGGAAAAACAAGAGAAGGTTTAGATCTTGACTGTAAATCCTTATAATCGTCGTTATTGAATCAATAAAGGTAGACCTCATAGCTACTAATGGCATTCTTTCTTTTCCTTCTCTAATCTTACATTACGGAACAGTACGTCAAGAATGTAAGCCTATCATTTACATTTGATACTTTTTATACTCTTAAAAAGTTTATGAGCTTGGTTGTATCCTATTATCTTATTCAATGTGCTTTGATCTAGAGCTAATTATCCTTGGCTAGAATTTATCCTCTATTTTCTTATTGATTGGTTTAACAAAAAGCTTGACACTTTTTGGTCAAACAATTTGGCGCCGTCTGTGGGATTTCTTAGTCTATGGGATTTCTATCAGAATTTTAGTTCCCTCTAGATCTGAAGTCAACTAGGGTTTCACTTCCCAGCTGTCGCAGCCTCACCCTTTCATTTGCAAGCCACAAACTCGAGCACTTCATAGGCAAGCTTTTGAAATAACCAAACCAGTCAGGGCCAGATCTTTACATGAAATCAAAATTATGTCCGATATCTATACGAAACCCACGCCTCACCTGTAGTGATGGGTTTGGCACGTCATATGCGTATTCAAAGTGGGATTACGGTCGTTACACACTTAGCACGTCCGCAATCCTATTTGTCGTATTAACGTTATATGCCGATCTGTACTTCCACCTCTTAGGGAAGGACGATAGCCTACTGTGTGATTATTTGAAATAACCGGCGTATCCTGCCTTATTTTTGTACCCGTATGCACTATGTAATTTATGTACAGAGTATAACATGTTTCTCTTATATTTGCGCACATCGGACGGGATCGGATCGGGACAGCTCTAGATCCCAACGGGCAACATACGTCCAGCTCACGAGAAGCCTAGACGCGACTAACGGTGAAGCCAAACACGACTGTCAAATCTGAAACCGCAATTCAAGTACAGGACGAAGCAAGTCGCCCTACAACGCCCTTCCCCCCTCACCGACTTACCAGGTCAAGGTAATAGGCAATTTCATTGAGTTTAACTTATCATACTTTCTTTTTTGGGTCGGGATAGGAACACGAGCATTCTCACAGGTGCACGAAAAAGGAACAAACGCCACCGAACACACCGGGAAAACGTTCTGTACCTTATCATCTCGCAGGAGATGACCAAGCAAAGCCCTCCATGCCGTACCATATTACAAATAATAGGAATGGCTCAGAACAGGCCGACATTATTAATAAACAATCGCCATAACCTGGGACTGAGCAGTAAGCCCATGGAACTTATAACCTCTCCAACGCAAGCAAAACATGAACTCGAAAAGCTTGCACGTATGCTCGCGATGACAATCCTACGCCAATTCAGCCGACTAAATATTACGAATCACGTCCAAACTTCGTTTGAATTAATGGTCCCAAGGTACCCAGTAGCCCAAGCAATAAGCTCATCGCCCGCCCCGTCAACGACCTCTCTAGGCCGAGCAATGAAGGGACTAGATAAACTGGGACTCCACCGAAGCATACAAACTATGCAACAACGCATAATATTCGCCAATGAAAGCAAGAATAAACGAACTGTGACTCATCCCTATGCATGCATAAACAATACGGCCATGAGAAATATTCTCCAATAAAAGCAAGGTCGCGTGCGACATCCTTACCACTCCACCGAACCAGCACGCGACAAGTGAAAGCAAAATTCGACCTCGTTCGAATTCATAATGGGTCACATTTTGACCTCGTTCGAATTTACACCCTAACGGGCCCCGGCCGTCACCAAGTGAAAGTAAACTTCGACCTCATTCGAATTCATAACGGGTCACACTTCTGTTTAACCAAAAAGTGGAATTTCGGTCAAAGCTTTATTTTAGAAGAACTCGGGTTACTAATAATCAAAAAATGAATAAAGGAAATTAATTTTGCTAACAATAAGATGAACAGAAGAAAACAAAGTAAATTAGTATATTCCGATGATAATCCGTCCCTTACAAATGATCAGGTTGCCCCTTTTATAGCTATTTCTAGTTGATACGTTTTGCCTTTGTCATAATAAGGCCATTATAGACATTTAAAGGCATTTAATGCTACGTTACAATCATTGTAATTCAATACAGATTCTCTAACGTTCTCAGTATTTAATGCCTATTAAATGTTATATCTGTTCCCACTTTTGCTGTCAGGTTCATTCTTTTAGCTTGACTTTTGAACATAAAGAGGTGCGGGTACCGAGTTTGTTGAATCTCTGCTCTTGCATGTCATATCCCGTGCCTCGTTAACTATTCTCTGCTGATCGTCATCCTTTGACCAGTCTACGTGTCATGGCACGTCATCTTTCATTAAATTCAATATNATGCCGATTTAAGAAAGGTTCCATCTAAAACAACAACCGGTTTGCAATACTGCCATCCTTTTATAGACGGATATAGTGAAACGAAAACATACATGAACAAGTCTTTCTCTGTTTTTTTCAAACTTACCACCGACATAGGATTTGTAAGAACCAACATATAAAATTAGCTTGGCAGCTTTTCATATGATTCGCTTTTCAGTAGCCCTTTTGTTATTTTATCTCACCTGACCCTACGCGTTCGCGGTAGTTGTACGCGTACGCGAAGGGTAGTTGTTGCTGATGGCCGCGAATGCGGGTACTGTTCAAGCGAACACGATGGTTAAGATTTGCTAAACCTTCGCGAACGCGTTATAATCACGCGGACGCATAGAGCATGTTTTTCCTGCACTGGAACAGTTCTGGCAGCTACTTGTTTTGGCTCTCCGGAACAC